TAGCCGTACTTGTACGGCTAGCCACTTCGTTAATTGTATAGCCTTGAGCATCTAAGAGAAGCAACGCAAAGTGATCCATCCCACCCAGCAAGGATCATGGAGTGTGGGTAAAGTTAAAGTAAAGCTGTATGATTAAATATTAAATTACTAATTAATCAGGCCCAGTTTTTAAAAAATTAATAGGAGGAGCAGAAGGACTTCCGTAATGAGCGACCACCCCAACAAACACAATAAAGAAGAGACCTAACCCTACGCCTATATTCTACTGTCTCATAGCGGTCGCTCGTTACGGAAGTCCTCCTGAAGGAGCAAGTTGAGCAAGGCAGAGGCAAGGACTGGGGAACATAGAAAGGGTCACAAGGCGCTGGAAATGGAGGTAAAAAAAGATTAAATCAACTGTCCAGAGCCATGCCATATAGCTGCTGTGTAGACACAAGTTTTCATACAAAAAGGAACTCATTTGCCATTGTTTTACATTAATTTTGTCTTGTGACTGATGAAAAGGAGGCATTCACTCATTCATCTAGATTTAGATCTAGTCAACTATACTAGACTAGGGCTAACTCATTGCTGGTAAAGAGCTGTTTCTCCAGAATGATTTTACTATTACTAATATAAACTGACAATGTATTGTAGGAATTGACAATAACAATATTGACACAGATCAGGTGACACTGACAAGAGTCAGGGAGTGAGTCAGAATCTATGTTGAGACTGAGACAGAAAAGAGGCCATAGACCATGTTTGTATGACATAGGAAAACTTAACCAAGTTCCCAACTTTCTTTAATATCACACAGAATAACGGACATTGACATCATTAAGGTATTGTTTAGTCGACACATCATGATAAAGAGAGAGACGCAGAACTAATAACATCAGTTTGTTGAGTTTGACAGTTACTTCCAAGTCAAGTTCATCGTCGAGACTCGAGACAGTCAAGAATGGTTCGCCCGGGCTCAACTCTAAATTTATCCACAACCATGAATAAATAGACTTTTATTCAGTGACACAAACAATTCATTAACCCCTACCTTAGATTTATAAACACGAATACCTTTTACAATATCGCACAGACGTGGACAGGACACGACGTGGAACACCGGTTTTGTTATTATCCTCGTCTATTTCGCAAAAAAGCAGCCAACATAAAAGCGGAAGTGACAAAGTGCTTGATCTTTTCCTGAACATCAAAAAGTGCTACGAACGAACCAGTAAACAAAAAAAAAGTTAAATGACACGAAAAGTTCAGATACAAAAGGTGCTGAATATTTATACATGTATTTTATATTTTAAAAGACTTTATTTAGACTAGTACTCTACCAAGATTTCAAGATATTATAATACCTTGCTGAAAATGTTTTGCGGTAGGCCTACAATTTAGTAGAAGTGTTGAGAGCCGGAAAAGTGTTGACCTGTGTGGACACCTTTGGGCTTGGGGCTAGGAAGCCTAGGCTTGGGGGCATGTTGGTAATTAATTGGCAATGGACCCCAGTCGCCTCTCAGTCTCTGTTGAACCAAAGTTTCTCTACTAGGCCTAGAATAGTAGAAAATATTCGGTAGAACTGTCTCTCTCGTCTTTTTCCAGGTCAATGGGCATGTGGCATATGTCCATCTTCATCATACGCCAGTGGCATCTTTGTCTCTCGCCTTTGTCTCTTTTTCTCTCGACAGGCATGGAAGCAACATTGCAGCTTTAATCAATCCCTGAATTTCCAAGAAGCCTCAATCGCACACAGATCTAGTTCATTGATTGCTTTTGAAGAAAATTCCTCCCAACTAACAGGACATCTAGAAATCTGCCGAGACAACCCACGTAGTTCTCTATAATGGTACTGTCTGGGAGTTGTGTATGTGTGTATGTGTGTGTGTGTGTGTGTGTGTGTGTGTGTGCAAGCATGTGTGTGTGTGTGTGGGGGGGGGGGGCCTGTTCTCGTTTCACCTACTGTGGCTATGGAGCAGGGAGTGGGGGAGGAATAAGGACGGAGTGGGGGAGGAGTAAAGGAAGACTATGGAACGAGGAGGGGAGGGTGCGTGTAGGTGGGGGAGGGGAGAAGAACTGGGTTTTGTTTTTCACCTGTTGTGGCTGTGGGGTCTGTTGCTGGGCCCGGACTTGGTTACTGGCGGAGGATCCTACACTGGAGATACTGTCTGGGGTGGCCGCGCGGTCGTACTGCGACGTCGATGATACTGGCACAAACAGTCAGCAAACTTGTCAGAACATGGTTACATTTCACTCAGGACAGTACTTTAACATAAGATTTTTTTTCATCTAAAACTTCATTATTATTTTCAGAAGAGGAATGAGACTAGAACCAATCGATAAAATCTACAACATTCTTGATTTTCATTTTTCTAAAATTTTGACATGCTACAATGTTGAATGACGGTAAGAGAAAATATCACGAATGGGACAAGACTACTTTGATACGTAAAGCAATATTTGGATGATTCTAGCAATCCAGATTTCAGGTTCTATCCGGAAAAATTTGTACTTCTAAAAAGTCTAAGAACAGATGAAAAAAAATTGTCAAGAAACTACTCAGTCTGGTATTCATGTAACAGTAGCATGTTGATACAATTACAGTTATCAGGAGCCGGGAAAAAAAGGAAGACAGATAGATACAAACAGCAGTAGAGATGGACAGAGACAGAGAAAGACAGATAAAGATGGACAGAGATAGAGAGACCAAAAAAAACCTCACCATTCCCGTCCATTCCGAAGGAAGCCATGACCTTGTTCTGAGTGGACTCCTCCACGGACTTCTGAGAGGTCAAGGGGTCAAACTCTTTGCCACCTCCGGCAATCAGCGGCCGCGAGTTGTTGACGATCGGAGGGGTCGCCTTTCTGGCAGAGTCACCTGTAGGTCAAGGAACAGCTTGTGTTTAGTATACACATTCAAGCACGAACACAGCAAAACACACATATAGCAGAAAGATTCGGGTCCTGGATTTTTTCTTATACATGTGTATATTCTTTGTGTCGAAAAGACATACATAATAAAATTTGTACATAACATACAGATTTCCAAGTCCTGCTGATTCCACTATGTGTATCCTCAACTAACAGGGATTCCACTGGGATTTGGTGAAAATAATAACAGAATATTTACAAAAAGTTGCCTTTGTAAACAAAATGACAGTTCATCGACAAAACTACATTGGGGTCAAACAGACAACAAACGCTGAGAATAATAACTGTTGTTGACATTCTTTTTTCTGGAAAACAAAATACCCTGACGACCCTTTGTTATAATATTTTCAGCAGAACTAACAAATATATCGGGGAAAAAACATATCCGTGTAAGTTATAGTGTTAGTAAGTGTTTCACAGCACTCGCAACACAATAAGGTCATATATAAAGTGCCGAAGACTAGAGGTGTTACAAGAGTGTAACAAAAACAAAAAAGGAGGGGAGATAAAGACGATAGACGTTTGATAGGAAAGAAGAAGCAAACCACACCACTGCACCCGCAAACCACCCACATCCTTTTTTCTGGGAAACAATCCCCTGAAGACTGAAGACCCTTGGTTCTATTTTCAGCGAAAACAACAGAAACATCAGTGGGATAATGGCATCTTCATGTATAAGGACTGAAACAAAGCTTGCAGGTGAGAGAGAGAGACAGGAGTTACCTTTCCCAGCGATCCCGTCGGCGATGTTCAAGGCCTGTGTCCCAGCCACCAGCGCTGCCGTGGAGGGTCCCAGCTTGTCCAACAGCCCGATGACGCGATCCCGCACTTCCTGTAGCTCCCTACGTATCGTGGCCGCCTCGGTCGGCTCGAGGAGAGACTTGGAGGCTCCTCCCACTGGAACACAACACAAGCAAAACATCTATTGCTGCCAAATTTTTCAAAACCGAAACACAGACCCTTCCCATAAATGATGATAGGCACTGACCAAGTAACTCCCCCTTCGAACCCTCCACACACACTTTTCTGCATTCAATAAATTCAAGCTATATATTAAAAGTAGAATTTCAGAAAAAAGATCTCTCGAACAGACTTTTGGGGTTTGTTTTCATTCAGATTCTGAAATCCAGTCACTGAAGTTCATTTTTTTTCCTTAAGTATCTGCAAGTCCATGGGGGGCAATACTAGAATACTGAGAATACATAATTTCCTACATGAAAATGGACTTCACTACTAAGACCCTAAAAAACACAGAGTAGTCTCCGCCTAAAATCCCACCGCTTACGATCCCGGTTCGGTTAAGATCCCGCTGTTTTAAGAAAACAGAATTTTTACTATACAAAAGTCACCCCTAAGATCCCACTCTGATGGTCTACCTTCGGCTAAGATCCCGCACTTCAGTTCATAATTTGCGGAACAAAAACTCGGCGGGCACAGCTGATCAACCAAGAGTGAAAAGTTGAGATCAATAAACTGTCCGTTGCGTCAAAGATCAGCCACTCCTGAATGTGATCACATACACGTTGTTAAACTCGATGAAGCGATACAATGTTTGCCCCAGACTGGATCACACTGGAATGTGAACTGACCGACGCGTTTGTTTTCCCCACGCATCGCACTCACACCTGAGCTCTCCCCCTAAACTTACATCACTCGCTGGGTGGGAAGGGCCTACACGTTCGCTCCAGGCGGGATCACATTGAACTGTGAACTCTTCCCTAACCATTGCAGAAGTTGCCTCTACTCCCGAATTTGCGAGACAGACTGAATTTTAATTGGTGTGTTCACAATGTAATGGTGTTTAACGACAAAGGCGGTTGGGGGAGGGGGGGGGGGACTCGGTCAGAGAAGGAAAGCTATAAATTTTCGACAGGTAAGGGGGAGGGGCAACTGGATACGCGTAGATCTTGAGACTCATGATAGGATAATAAGTGAAAATGGTACGTACGCCTCATCCCACTATGCACTGTGATAGTTCACCAAGGTTAACCACTCTTTGCTCGCCATACGTCATAAACTCACCAAGCAGTCACGTCAGTTCATTTTCGAGAGTAGGGAGACCATTTTACCTATTGTGAGCCTTAACATGGATCACCATAGGTTCTTCCCTGGGTTTGTCGGTTAAGATCCCGGTTCACCAAAGATCCCGCATTTCCTTGCACTCGAGCACCGGGATCTTAGGCGGAGACTACTGTATTAAGTACGTTTTTTATGCACTGGTTGGAAGCTATGTGTATCCATCTTCCCTTTCATCAGTTCCTCCCTAATACGCAATCATTAGAATGCAGGAAATGGGGATAGAGAGGGGAGAAGGAAGAAGGAACGATTATCTGGAAAGGAAAGACGTCGCCATAATCAGACAGCCACTGGAACAATCAGTATGGATACCTTGCGGGCTTTGGGGCGGAGAGGAACTGAGCACTTATGGACCTGTCCGGAGCGCAATGACGTTGTTGCCCAGGACAGGTAATACATGTAATTCTACAGAGCCAAGTGCTTGCAAAATAACTTTCTTCAGTAAGAAGCTGAAGCGTAAATGAATTGATGAAGAAAAACAGGATGAAGAGAAGAGGAATGAATGATGGCCGACAAAATGATAACTTGGCACTTACACAACATATTTAGTCACATTTACCCCTCACTCACTGTAGGCTGACACACTTACTCCTCACTCAACAAACCAGACACACTTACTCCTCACTCATCAAACCAGACACATTTACTCCTCACCCATCAAACCAGACACATTTACTCCTCACCCATCAAACCAGACACACTTACTCCTCACTCATCAAACCAGACACACTTACCGAACAAAGTAATTTTCAGAATCCGGCTACACTGAATGGCAAAAGTCAGGTCAGAGCTGTCAAATATGGTAATGAGGTCACCGTCTGAAAAACACGGAACAGCAGAAATTAAACCAAACATTCACAGGAACAGGCTGTTAACAACATAATTGAGTCTGATCAAAATTTCAAGCACAAAACATTTTGAGACAAAATTAAACATTTTGAAACCTGAAATACCTTTTGCCAGCCATTTTCTCATCATAAAGTGATGGTGGTACAGTAGTGTAATCTGATCATTATCATTAACCTGTTCACTGCTGAGTAGACGTATGTTCTGTCTTGTATTCTCCACTTATATTGTTTCATCAGGTTAACAAAAGAAGTTTTACTTGGTGTAGTTACAGCTTGTGATTTGGCTTATTCTGAAACAATGCTCTGTGTTTAAATATTCCTTGAACTAACATTGTATCTTGTCAGTGCAGATGTTGATGGAAACTTTTCAGCAGTGAAGAGGTTAGGCACACCTGCTACACAGACTGCCAGAACAAAGCCACAGATATTAAACAACAGCAACACAACAGCACTGTAAATAGAGACAATTATTAGAAAATTGCCCCCCCCCCCCCTTCCAAAAACATACAGACTTACACTACACATAGACGCAAAAAGATCTTTAAAAAGATACACAATGGGCCACAAGACCCACACACAACATTGCCACATGATATTATAGATACTCACAGCCGCAACACACTAACAAACACATTATAACAGAGACACACACACACAACATTGGCCCACCTTCATCCTTATATTTGATGGTGATCTCGTCATTGGTGCTGAGCTTCCCCCGATACACTCGCTGCATCATCAGCACCAGCTCATCGTACGTAATCTCCTCATTGTGGATGGGAATTCGGCGGATATCCTCCCCCAAGGCCACCTTGATGATGAGTTTACCCGTCAGGTCTAACTGTGGACTGCCAGAATTCTGCATGGCTGCTGAAGAGAAAGAAGGGAAAAAGTACTGGATTTGTTTGTACACAGTTATATAGAAGTTGTGAACATACAATCAGAAAAAAAGGAAGGGCAAGGAAAAAGAGAGGGGGAGTCGCTATAGATATATGGAAATAAGCCACACACACAGAGAGAAGAGAAGGGGAAGAAAGAGAGAGAGGGGGGGGGGGGAGAAAGAAAGAAAGCTGAAAGAAGGGGGGGGGAGGGGATACCGATGAAATAAAAAGGCCATTTCTGGCTAAATTCCTGTCTCAGCATATATTTTCTATTATATTCTTTTCCTGAGTTCTTTCCTCCCTAAAACTACAGTGCCAATTGCTTGCCAATTTATGACCTTTGATAAAGAGCTAAAAGTAAATTATGAATTGAAGAAAGCACACCTAATATAACAACCCAAACACCCATTATAACCGAAGAACAGGCAATGTTTAGAAAAACTTCACCAGAATAATCAGTTTCAGCGCAGTCTCACTTTAACGACGTATGAATTATTGGTGTACAATTGGGAATATAATGTAAAGTTGCAAAACATAGCCTGTTTGAAGGTTCCAACAGACTGCACACTGTTCTCAAATTTATCAACACCCCTCTCCCCCTTCCAATATTCTTTTCCATCAACCATCAGGAGGTGACTAAAAGATGACAAAAGGCATGTGACCTAGAAGTAGAATGTTCCAACTCCCTTACAAGGCTAAATCATTAAATCTCTAGAGAAAAAGACTACTTGTCACTCAGCATTATAACTATAATACTGTTGTGGACACAAGTAACGAGATATGCTCGGGGCGTGGGTTCTCGAGCGGAGGAACACGGAGATCTCGAGCGGTGAGGGGATCCCGCATAGAATAGTTCACGAGAAGTGTATCAGTCAATCACGGCTTTCAGTGGGACAATCGGACGAGAGAGAGTAGGGGACAGAGCCTTGGTCTACTCACTTGTGCAGGAAAATACAATGTACTACTTTTATTGAAATTAAATACTCATCAACCACGGTAAGAGTTTTCGCTTATATCCTTTTATAATGTCGTTCTAACTTTGTGGAGTAGTAAAACTGTGTTCTGCAACAAATACAAAGTAACAAAGGAACAAAAGTCATTGACTCTCACAATCTGTCTCTGTGTACGTAAAAACAATTAATTGTAGGAAGAGGCTAGCCGTACTTAATGACACAATCTGTCTCTGTCTGTGTACGTAAAAACAATTAATTGTAGGAAGAGGCTAGCCGTACTTAATATGATGGCTAGACTGACCATTTACAAAAAATAGGCCTACTGAATTGTAAATATACATTTTTAGTGTGCAGTACCTAAAGTATTTGCATTTGAGACGAAACCAGGTGCCTTAATGACAGTGCATGTATTTTAAACCTCCTGTTTTCTAATGTCAATAGGGCCTAAGATAAGTACGGCTAGACTGGCAGTCTAGCCGTACTTAAGTACGGGTAGACAGCCAGGCTAGCCGTACTTAAGGACGGCTAGACTGTCAGGCTAGCCGTACTTAATATTGATGGCTGAATTATAAATGAAATTTTTAGTTTGCAATGCCTATAAGTATTTGTATTTCAGATAAAACCAAAAGATGCCTTACTGACTTGCATGTATTTGAACCTGAATAATTACTAGATCTAGATCTAATGAGACCTACTAAACAGGCTTGAGTCGATAGGGCCAAACCTAGATCTAAGTACGGCTAGACTGGCAGTCTAGCCGTACTTGTACGGCTAGCCACTTCGTTAATTGTATAGCCTTGAGCATCTAAGAGAAGCAACGCAAAGTGATCCATCCCACCCAGCAAGGATCATGGAGTGTGGGTAAAGTTAAAGTAAAGCTGTATGATTAAATATTAAATTACTAATTAATCAGGCCCAGTTTTTAAAAAATTAATAGGAGGAGCAGAAGGACTTCCGTAATGAGCGACCACCCCAACAAACACAATAAAGAAGAGACCTAACCCTACGCCTATATTCTACTGTCTCATAGCGGTCGCTCGTTACGGAAGTCCTCCTGAAGGAGCAAGTTGAGCAAGGCAGAGGCAAGGACTGGGGAACATAGAAAGGGTCACAAGGCGCTGGAAATGGAGGTAAAAAAAGATTAAATCAACTGTCCAGAGCCATGCCATATAGCTGCTGTGTAGACACAAGTTTTCATACAAAAAGGAACTCATTTGCCATTGTTTTACATTAATTTTGTCTTGTGACTGATGAAAAGGAGGCATTCACTCATTCATCTAGATTTAGATCTAGTCAACTATACTAGACTAGGGCTAACTCATTGCTGGTAAAGAGCTGTTTCTCCAGAATGATTTTACTATTACTAATATAAACTGACAATGTATTGTAGGAATTGACAATAACAATATTGACACAGATCAGGTGACACTGACAAGAGTCAGGGAGTGAGTCAGAATCTATGTTGAGACTGAGACAGAAAAGAGGCCATAGACCATGTTTGTATGACATAGGAAAACTTAACCAAGTTCCCAACTTTCTTTAATATCACACAGAATAACGGACATTGACATCATTAAGGTATTGTTTAGTCGACACATCATGATAAAGAGAGAGACGCAGAACTAATAACATCAGTTTGTTGAGTTTGACAGTTACTTCCAAGTCAAGTTCATCGTCGAGACTCGAGACAGTCAAGAATGGTTCGCCCGGGCTCAACTCTAAATTTATCCACAACCATGAATAAATAGACTTTTATTCAGTGACACAAACAATTCATTAACCCCTACCTTAGATTTATAAACACGAATACCTTTTACAATATCGCACAGACGTGGACAGGACACGACGTGGAACACCGGTTTTGTTATTATCCTCGTCTATTTCGCAAAAAAGCAGCCAACATAAAAGCGGAAGTGACAAAGTGCTTGATCTTTTCCTGAACATCAAAAAGTGCTACGAACGAACCAGTAAACAAAAAAAAAGTTAAATGACACGAAAAGTTCAGATACAAAAGGTGCTGAATATTTATACATGTATTTTATATTTTAAAAGACTTTATTTAGACTAGTACTCTACCAAGATTTCAAGATATTATAATACCTTGCTGAAAATGTTTTGCGGTAGGCCTACAATTTAGTAGAAGTGTTGAGAGCCGGAAAAGTGTTGACCTGTGTGGACACCTTTGGGCTTGGGGCTAGGAAGCCTAGGCTTGGGGGCATGTTGGTAATTAATTGGCAATGGACCCCAGTCGCCTCTCAGTCTCTGTTGAACCAAAGTTTCTCTACTAGGCCTAGAATAGTAGAAAATATTCGGTAGAACTGTCTCTCTCGTCTTTTTCCAGGTCAATGGGCATGTGGCATATGTCCATCTTCATCATACGCCAGTGGCATCTTTGTCTCTCGCCTTTGTCTCTTTTTCTCTCGACAGGCATGGAAGCAACATTGCAGCTTTAATCAATCCCTGAATTTCCAAGAAGCCTCAATCGCACACAGATCTAGTTCATTGATTGCTTTTGAAGAAAATTCCTCCCAACTAACAGGACATCTAGAAATCTGCCGAGACAACCCACGTAGTTCTCTATAATGGTACTGTCTGGGAGTTGTGTATGTGTGTACGTGTGTGTGTGTGTGTGTGTGTGTGTGTGTGTGTGTGTGTGTGTGTGTGTGAGAGAGAGAGAGAGAGAGAGAGTGAGAGAGAGATCGATCGAAAGAGAGAAAGTGTGTTTACGTGTGTGTGTGTGTGCGCACGCGCGCATGTTTATGTGTTATTATACATTGTAATAATAATGGTCTCACAATGTGCATAATTTAATTTCTTTCTTTTGGTCAGTCAGTTGAGAAATAATAAAATTCTAGTATTGCGCGGCGCTATAGCATTCTAGAGACTAGGTGCCAGGCTAATTTCCATTACATTTGTATTATCATACATTTTGTTATTTCCTTGATCCGAACAGACAACATCAGTGCTCAGTCTTGTCTCATCCGAGCACTAGTATGAGTTTGAGTGAAGAAGAAGCACATTCACCACACTAATGCCAAAACCAGGCGAGGCGCTTAACTATTTGGTGTGGTTTGCTTCTTCTTCCTATCAAACATCTATCGTCCTTATCTCCCCTCCTTCTTTTTTATGTTTGTTACTTTCTTGTAACACCTCTAATCTTCTGGCGCTCACATGACCTTATGCAGTTGCGAGCGCCATAAAACCTCTACTAAAACGAAAACAAAACTATTTGGTATATTTACCACCTCGCACCAGGCATGTAGTGCGGGATAAAACCATGATAGAAAGACAAAATCAGCAGCCAGAGGGGAAGAAAAGAAGTAGGATCTACTAATGGCGTCCTCCAACCACCCAGCCTTCAATTACCACGGCAACAGAAGTCAGAAGTAACCCCCCCCCCCCCCCCCCATAATAACAGATTAAAAAGAACTATTAACGATAAAACCGACACGAAGCACTGCGCGATATATGGCTTTGGACGACGGGATCCCGGGGGGCGCTTCTCTCTCTCCCCCCTCCCTCTCTCTCTCTTTTTATACACACAAAAAAGTACGCATACGTGCTGAACACACATGTACGTGCATACACACACAGAGAGAGAGAGAGAGAGAGAGAGAGAGAGAGAGAGAGAGAGAGAGAGAGAGAGAGAGAGAGAGAGAGAGAGAGAGAGAGAGAGAGAGAGAGAGATTATCTACTATCTAGTTTGAGGCTTGAGTTTGTTCATTTTTGTTTTAGTACGTGTTTTACGACACTTGCAACGCAATTACATTATAATTATAAGTGCCGAAAGTGAAACAATTGTGAAATTGTATAAGTTTAACGCCCCAATCAACACTATTATGTCCTTCAAAAGGCGGGGCCTCCGAGTTTAACGTCCATCTCCGAAAGGACCGAGCAAAATGGGAAATTTGTGAAAAGTGCCTTTCTCAAGGACACAACGTTGGACCGAGCTGTTATGTTTTAGTGAAGTTTTACGGCGCTCATAACTGCATAAGGTTATATGAACGCCAAGGGGTGGATGTCAACAGAGAAGTCCTTACAGGGAATCAGGCTTACTCTGCTCACCTCTCTAGCTTCAACCGCGCAAAATTTGCTTCGACTACCAAGGCACCCCGGAAATAGCAGGTCACAAAAGAGTGACAAACATACAAAAGAAGTAGAGGATAAATGACGATAGAAATGATGAGGAAAGAAAAAGCAGCAGTCCCCCCTATGTTGTTTTAGCCCAGTATGAGCATGACATTGATAAGTCAGCCCGTTTACAATTCTACAGTGCATAAGAACGTGTTAGTATCCCCCCTTTGGGAATAGACAGTCTTTGGGTACTAGGAGAAAGCAAGTGCAGACACAAACGGCAGGGAAGAAAGGAAAAATGTGAGGCAGCGTGGTGGAATCAGGCTCTCGTCAAAATAAGCAAAGTGAAGAAACTTGCATTTTTCCGAAGGTATGTGAACTTTTATCAAATTTTTGTTTTTTGGCCCAACACTTTTCAAGCCCATTAAAGAACTCATTTCTGGGTGGATTTTTTTGAAAAACGTTGATATTGTAAATTTTCAGTTACCACGGACTCTTAAGCTATGGAAATAACTAATCTTTGGCGGCCGTTTTCTCGCTAATTTTACCCCTGAAAACAAGTGACCCCCACCTCCTTCATTCGCAAATATCTCGACTTACTTGTATTCAAGACAAATGGATATTTTTTCATCCAAATAAAGACAATTGTACAAGCTTTAAGATGATACCGATAACTCTACAGGCCCAAAAATTGACGAGAGCCTGATTCCACCACGCTGCCTCACAAATAGAGCTTACCAGAGGCGTCCTCCAACTGTCAGCTGAATTTGGCTTTATAAAAAAACAACAAAAAACCCCAAACAAAACGAACCTCAACACAATGTAACAAAGTTTCATTTCACACTCAATTTGTTTTTTGTCATCACTTTATTTAATATCTATACACTACAGGGAAGAAATACAGCCAGCACGTTACACTGAAACATTTTGGACACGATGCCAGCAAGTTATTCAAGGGGTAACAGTAACAGTAACAATCTGACAGAGTGCACCTGCCAGCCACCCATTGGCAAGGTTGAAAATTAAAAAAAGACCCACCTCCAAATTGATCTGCACTGAGTCAATGTGAACGTAAACATGTTTGCACTGACACTGTCGCTTTCAATTTCACTTTGTGATCGGGGTGGGGGAAGAAGACTATTTCACAAGGCTATTTCAAGTTCTTTTGTTCGGAACAAACTTGACAACAGCTGCACTCTTGGCCAGTGACAGAGTCTGCCAGCCTTGTGTGGTGTCGGTGGCCTAGTGGTTAGGCTGTAAGACTCGCAACAATAAGGTCGTGGGTTCAAATCCCGTCAGGGACCCAACTTTGTGTACTTGGGAAAGACACTTTAAACGAATCCAGGAGAGAATGGGTACCCGGCTATGGACAGTGAAAGACCTTGTCAGTTTGTTATTCTACGAGCACTTAATCAGCTGCTTGCACTGTATGCTTCCCGGGAAGCTGAGAATGTTACTGAGTGTTCTATGGTCTGCTGGGGTAATAATATTACAGAGTGTAAACCTCATAAAGCTTGCAGTCGAGGGGGGATACGCGCTATACAAATGCTATTTATTATTATTATTATAATCATTATCATTATTATTAGTGCCTTCAGCACCACTGTTACTGTTAGTGTTACCACCCACCTTCGCAAACCGACCTCAAACTACTTTATTCGTAAAGCTTGCCAAAATTATTATTATTATTTTTTAAAAAATCAAATGAAAGTGTGTATTTACGCTCCCATCGACACAATTTAGATCATTTAGGAGGTCGGCTTCCGACCCTGCCTGTCAGGGCCAGCCTAGGCAGAGAATCAGAGACAAGGATACAACATCCCATCAGAAAAACCAAGATATTCGACAGTAAATATTCTCCCCACTCCGGAATTGAACTTGCGTCTTCTGCGTGCGACAGTGAAGCACCTTACTGCAACACTACAACACCAGTCAGTTCACCAAAACCTTTAACAAATGTCGATAAGACGACCCAAAATGATATGCACAAAATATTATATATAATAAAAAAGTCATTCCATGAAAAGTGACACATGTAACGCAGGGACTTTCGGATGACATGCTGAAGGAAAATCTAAGCTATGATAAAAAGTCATTCTTCATTTTTTTCTGGAAGATGAAAGTTGCATGTTACAAAAAAGAGAAAACAATGAATGGCTGTATCACTGCTTATGAACATTTTTTCAGAAAGGTCACCATCTGTGCATTATGCGTGTCACTTTTCATGAAATGCCAAAATACATATGTAGGCTACATATTAGGATCAGAAAGCAGGATCAACATGGTAAGGAAGAAACATTTTAATTTTAAAAAACAACGCATCAAACTCAAACCATCCCAGTCATAACACAACTGCCCAAATACATTTTTCTTCGGGGTTTCTAGTTATTGGTGAGGTAAACATACTTGCATTTTTTCTGATAATCTGTTTAGCAGGATCTAATTTCATGTCATTGTCAGACATTAATGAACAAGCTTTTAATATTATCAATATTATTATTATCATTATTATTATCATTATTATCATTATTATTATTATTATCTTTATCATTATTATTTTTATTATATTATTATTAAATAAGCACTGTATTTCACAAAATTTTCAGAAAAAGATCGACTGAGGCAATTGCGTTATGACAATGACACACCCTTGCCAACTTTTTCAAAACCCAACATACATAAAAATAACATCAGATTACAAAACAACAAAGAAAACTACATTCAGTGGGACTGGTTTTGCTGTAACATAATAATAAAATGTGATACGTCTCTCAAATCCCTGAATATCAAACCTGGGACAGTCCTGGGAAATTCGGGACTACCGGTACTGGCGA